CCGCAGAGATATGATAATAATGGCCGTGGATGTATACAGTAGTGTTGGGTGCAGTGCGATCGATAACGGGTTTTCGCGTAATTTTTAATGTTATGAAATTAGTTTCGGTGAAAAAAGTGATGTAATTTAATTCATATTCAATTAATCCGTCCACGATTATTAACATTATGGTATTACGGGTCGGGCTAGAGGTAAACAGGATAAAGTACACCCGTGCGTTTTAATTTATTCTTCGGTGGCCTTAACCCCCTTGTTCCGGTGACTTAACAATGTTTTTCCCTCCCCTTTTTTTTTTTTTTTTAGTCCAGTGACCCATATTAAAATCAAAATCAAAATTATCCACGCAAGGTGGGTGGTAGAATATTTATAAGATAATGTACTGTACACGATAATGACTATTGAAGACGATACAACAATAACGTAACGTTATGAATGTTTTTATCAAGATATTATATAGTTTGTACTATATTTAAATCTTCTAAGAATTATTAGTAATACCGTAACGTTTTTAATCAGTTGCGGAAGAGTTAATGGAATCATGTAGTAAAGTTAATTTGACCGAGTGGATGCGAAACATTAGGTTTTATGTTTATATTTAAAAATATAATTATTACCAAGTTAGAAAATGATACATGAAAAATGGATGAGCTATTTTTAAACCATTGTTATTTAAATATTTTACCAAATATTAATTATAATACCGTTGCACGATTATTTACTAGTTATTCTGTTTCAATTGTGATTAAATTAAAAAAAAAATTAGAATTAATTTCAAATTAATTGAAAAATTACTTGTTATTAAAATTGTTATTCTGTCATTAAATTAATAAGTAGATAACTTTATAGTTTCAACTAAGCTTGTAACGATATGAGTTTAATAACTGCATTACAGACACTACAAATATAAAACATCACTGGTTTGATGTTATTATTTTTTTCTATTAGAATAATGAACTGTCGACAAAAAACGTGAGTAATACTGAAAAAAGACCCAGAAGATGTTTTTAATCATAAATTATAGTTATACATTTTCGATTAAAAAAACCAATAAATGCACTGAGTCTCGTAAGTGTTTAAGTGGAATTGAATTTCGTTTAGAATTCAAATCAGTTCAATCAAATTTTTAAACAAAATATCTTTGTAATTAATAAATGAGATCAATTTAGCCGCGGTGTCGAAATAATACAATAAACGAAAGATAAAAAATTAACATTTCGCGTGACTGAATACATGTGCAACATGACTGAGGTACTGAAATTATCATCCGCAATGAATACATCGGATGAGATAGAAATTTATGCAGGTGTAAAGCTCATCATGAAAACTAATCGTCAAATGCAACGGAAATAAAAAACCACACAGCTTCAACGCCGCGTGGGCAATAATAATTTTCTTGAGACATTGCAAGTGCTGCATGTAGATAAAGCAGTGCGCCAAATGTTTAAAACAATTCTAGTCAATCGTTTGATATGACGAATTAAATTGCTATAATTTTTTCCCGTCGATTACATACGTTTCGTTTTATGTTTTATTTCGTAATATTTTCCTCGGAATCATAAGTGCTGCAAGGTTCTGCTCACAGCTATCGATACTACCTATGTTTATTAATTTAAATTATGGAACGTATACAAACGATAATAATATTTCAGTAGTTAATTACACGTTACTTGGTAAAACTATACCTTTTATCGAAAATGGTCACGTACAGTAATAATATTATTATTGTGAACATTTGTGGAATCACGTGAAAAAAAACGCGTGTTTTTTTTATCTTATTTGGATGACGAATTATTAGTGGTACAATTACGTGTGACGCGTGACTTTAAGCTTTCATTTATTTTAATGAGTTAAATTAGTTTTAATCTGTTTTCTTTCGAAAATCGTGATTCATTTATATTTCTGTTCATGACAGACTAAGTTACTAAACAGAAACAAGTTGTTTGTAATTATAAAAAATTAGGCACCCGCAACACCTAAATCGATTTCCGTAATAATATCAACGTCGTTCAAATAAAACTATTCCTATTTGACCATAGTTAAGTGTAAAAATTTCATCTGCATTTCTACCATATATAATGTTAAAATCAAATCTATATGTTCAATTGAACAAAATGTCAACATAAATATCTTAAACAAACAAGAAGAAATTTACTGTGTTTCAAACATTCAAATACATGTATATATATTATATTTAATATACTGTAATTATTATACAATTTATACTATAACAATAAACTCAATTGGACGTCGGTAGTAACAACGTCAATTCCGTCGGTATTGTCGATTACAAACTCAATAATTGCTTCAGTATTGATGTATTATGATGGGACGACGAAGTCAAATCGAGTTCTTCCTAGTTATTTTTTGTTTTGTATAAAAAAAAAAATGCTATGTTAAAAACGATATTTTATGTATGATCAGTGGAGTGAGCACACTTTGTAAGATCAATGTAAATATTTGAATGGTACCTGTAGTGAAAAAAAATATTATAGTGATATAATCAATGCAATGTTATGGAAGTTGGAAGATCCCTTTCACGAACCCTCGAAATTTTCAATTTTCACTATACCCTATCAAAAGTATAACATAGATTTGTCAGGGCAACCCTTTTCCGGAAATGTTGTAAATAGGGCCCTATAATTTAAGTCTAAGGAGTAAGAGGACCGTATGTAACTGATGTTTTGTTAAATTAATTGTAATTTATTCTAAAATTTTTGAAATAAATAATGTTTCGTAATAGAAAAAATAAAATAGAATTTTCAAAATGTTCGTGAAAAAATTTATTACAATAATATAACAACTACAATTAACAAAAACAATACAAATTATAATTAAAGCTATCTGAAAAAAATATAGGAGAAACATATTAAACATATTCATTACGACTAATACTCTTCGATATTAAATAAAAAATTAAAGTTATGTTTATTTAATGATTTATACTTATATTTATTATTTATACTATATATTTATTAAATATACATACACATTTTGTTAAGATATGGGCCAAAAATATTGTAGGACACCCCCTGAAAACAGGTCTGCGCACGCCTATGAACACAATAAAATGATTTCCTTCTTAAGATATATGAAATTTTTTTCGTCCACTATTAAATTCTGACCGAAGCAATGAAATTATTGGTTCTCAATGACATGTTTTATATACCTGTTTTATTTTTCTTGTAACTCTTTTTTATACGTTAAATCTTCTCTAAAAATTTTACATACTATTTTATTGTATCGCAATATGAACACGGATGATAATTACAGACCATTTTTATTTTTCTCAGCAACTGTGAGTTCATGTTAAGTTTTGTCTCGTCACTATGTATTTTAGGAACATGAAAATATTTTGTGTGCAATAACTTAAATAAATAATTAATGATATTGTTTTATTTAATTTAATCCCCTAGCTATTTTTTTACTAATAAATGTAAAGGGTTGGTCCTATCAAATATTTCAATAAAATTTGAATAGTTCAAAATTCTACAAAACCTATTATAATTACGATTGTAATATATAATCGTGTGTAATATTTTAAATTGTTTTCAGTGAACACTGAAGTTAATAAAATTAATAACTATTTTCGGTATGCATGTATAGTTATACAAATTGACAATGATCAAAAATGAAAATTACAAGAAAATTGAATGACAATATTATTTCTATAGATTTTGAAGGTTCAATCCGATCAGTCAATTGGTACACGCATTAGACACAAAATTAAATTTTCGAAAGATCTGAAGGTTAATAATCTCTTGGCCCTTGCGGCATAAAATATTTATTATTATTATTATTATTATTATTATTATTATTATAAACACGTATAAAATAATATTGAGAACAGCGACCAAATTAGTAATAGTTTTTTAAATGTAAAATTATTATTAAAATAATATCGAAATATATATGGTCGAACCAGCAACAATTTGCACAGCAAAAAACATAATAAAAATATCAGTGTTAAGCAAAATTATTATTTACAATATAATTGATAAACTTCAAAATCGAACCAAAAAATAATTGACCGAACAAAATTTGTTCGTTTAGAGATTAAATATGGGGTTTAAATGGCGAGTTATTTTTATTATTTTGCTTAGAACACATCATCGAAATAAGTAACCCGGTATCAGGTTTAACAGGTATAGGTACTGTGCATGTGATTTTAACAATAAATATCTGCCACATAATACTAAATACACGATTTCGGTACGACAAAAATTGAGTAGATTATTTGAAATTGTTTGGAAACGGCTGAAATACAAACATTAATGCAACATGTGTTTTACATTTTTTTCCAGTACAAAGGCAACTAAAAGAATGTGCGCAAAAGTCTGTTTATGCAAACGCTTTCTTGTTAATTGTCTTGAAAAAAAAACGAATAAATAAAAAAATAAAAATAGAAAATCGTAAAGTTTAAATATGAACCAAGATAATCTCGATTTTATAATCAACACCGCTTGTAGGTAGAGTCGGAACAAAAGCATCTAACCGTCTTCTCATCTCAATTTCAAGTAAATATATATTTTATTATTCACGTGAACCTTAGTCTAATCGATCGCTTCAATGTTTCGACTAACCTTGTAGGATTTATTACGGCGATCAAAAATCGAAAGATATGTACGTTCAATAACGGCTATAATTTCCAAAAGAAAAATATCATATATGGTGTCAAAAACGTTTATGTAAAATAAAATAACAAATGAAAACGAAATGTAAAAACGCGACTTTTCGCAGACAGCTAATGGCGTTTCCATTTGCCGGATCGGGGGACGACACATAATACCGAATCCGATTAGACGTAATTCGTACAGTGCGATCCAAGCGACGGACGAAAAGTCAATGGGAATCATTCGCATCGCTCCGTTTTTTCTACGTCATAAACGTTCAGAGGGTCGGTTGGAGGGGTTGGAATGTCCCGTAAGGATGGGCACGGAGAAACTGCACGTGCAAGTTACCCACAACGCAGGTACCGAGGGACGACGGTGCGCGGTAGTTACCTTGTTGGTCGAGTTCCAGATCGATGTCGTCGTCCAGGATCCACGGCAGCGATATCCTCAGCGTGTGCGTGTCGAAGTACTCGTCGATGGCCGGTCCCAGGGACGTACTGACCCGCTGCTTCTTGTTGCTGTTCGCGCTGTTGTTGTGCAGTTTGGACCTGTCCTCGGCGCGGCCCACCTGCTTCTTGACGATGGTCACGATGTTGCCAACCACGTTCAGCTTGTCGCGCTTCTCCAGCCAGTTGACGTACACCAGCAGCTTATCGTCCAGGCACACTATGGCCAGGTCAAGCACGCACTCGTCGTCCGACGCGGTCGCGGCCGCTACGGGCGCGTGCCGGCCAAGCGCGAACGCCGACCACAGCGACAGTATGACGGTCACGGGCAACATATTGGGCGCGGTGAGACGGCGCGAAGGGACGGTGCACGTTTCAGTGGGACGGGACGCTGCGTGTGCGGTCGCGTACGTGGCTGCGTGTGCTTGGACAAACACCTGCGGTACGCCACGCTCTCGGTGTTCGCGGACGGTCGATGAAATGAGACTACGACGATCGATCACCACCGCGGTGTTTCTGACGCCACTGTGACTATCTCATCCCCCGCACCGCCGTCGCCGAAAAAAGGTATCGCGGGAAATCCACCGGCCCCTGTAGAGTTTTACGGTCATTCTTTCGTCTTCAGTGGGAGGGGAATGCACGGTGGACGGGTGGAAGAGGACTGGAGTTCGCGAAAGACGGACAGAGCAGAAAGATAGAGAGAAAGAAAGAGAGAGAGGACGACGCGAAAGAGTGAGGAAAAAAGAGCAGAAAAAAAAAAGAATACAGTCACTATAACGAATCCAACAATGAACTATATGGGGCTACTGACTGTGCGTGCAGACAAGTAGGTAGGAGGAGGAAGAAGGACTGTGTATAGTGCGGTGACGGTTAGGCGGCGTAAAGCAAAGAAGAAAGAAAGAAAAAAAACAATGTAAAAATATATAAGTTAAATGGTCATTTGCCTATTTAGTTCACACCGAATCCGCAGTTTTTCTACATATGATTTCCACGATATAATTACAAGTGGAAAACTATCGGTCCTGCATCAAACGTGCCTAGTCAGCCAGTGTCCGGTGTATGGTTTTATCGATGCCGTTTTTTTTTTTCTCCCCCGACCATCGCTTTTTTCCCTCCATCTCCTGCACCTCCGCCCATTTTCTTCGTGTCCGTTTTGTTTGCGATCGGGTATTGTTGCGTTATCATTATTGTTATTATTTTTTCGCCCGCAAAATAATACGACCGTCCGGCGCGTCACGATGAGCTCGTGGTACGTACGCCACGCGATGATGCGCGCGCGACATATATTTCGTCGATTACCAGACGATAACCGTCTCGGACCGCGTCCGTCTCGCCGCGCGCGTAACACAACAACCGCGCGACCGAGAAGAACGCTCACACATTATATGCGGCACACGCGGTAGCCCATATTTATTATTGCTGTTGTTATTACCGTTTATTTTTTTATTTTATTTTATTATCGTTTTATTATTTTTTATCATTATCATTTTCGCCGATTTTTTTCTCCTCGAGTCAATGGCGAGAAATTATATTTATTTAATTTTTGTTTTTTTTTTTCTCCGACGTTTTCCGGAGCTGGCCTATAATCGCTTTCGCATATTTCACTCGGACGGGCAAACAATTTATTAGCGTTACATTTATATATTGCTACGTCAACGTACGTCACACTACGGCCGCACCACCCGTTCAAAATTATCAATTAGTTTTTTTTGTACCTTTTTTTTCGTTTATCAACAATAAACACGCACTATTGGAATTTGCGTTTGCACGACGAATTCCAACATTTCAATGGGTGCTGTTGGAGAGACGATTTTTGTGAAATCTCCACTTAGACTTGAGATTCCAATGCATTTTCAGTTTCATTTTTTTTTTTTATACATAAATATATATATATATATATATATTGTTCCTATATAAATTGATTATTTAATTATTTAGAGTGTTTTTTAAGATTTTTGATTTCGTTGGCGTTTTTTTACTGTGGAGAGTTATTGTAATTGGTATTCATCTGAAAATAATAAAATATTAAGGGTTAAAAACATTATGCTCACATATTTTGCTGACAAATTATCTTCTGCGCTTTTTATTCGAAAAGATCATGCAGAACATTATATTACTCAAAGTAATTTTAATGAATTTATATATATATATATATATGTATATAAATTATTAATAATGATAAACAAAAATTTAGTTAACAGTTTATATATAGTTATTTTCGTTTTTTAACCTACAATAAATACATTTGATTACATACTTCATATTTTTGCTTATTATTGTGATATAATAATCTCAATTCTAATGATTCATAAAAACAAAAAATTTTATTTTATTCCAATGTGATGCACGTCATATATCCAGTCTTTCGTTTATGAATTTAATATTAAAACCTATTATACGTTGAAAACGCAACAATGATGTAACACTCTATGAAAAGTTTTTCAATCGAGGAGTTCTATCGTATGTAACTGACTATGCACGTGATTTATTGCCATAAATAACAAATTAATAGAATTATTGAAATATTGTAAATATTGTAAATCGGTTCGTTGGACTGTATTTTCGATTAGATTAGACTATATAATAATAATTATAATAATTTGATTTACAGAAATAATTCCAATTACAGGATTATAAATTGATAACAGTGTACAAATAACTAATAAGTTAGATATTTTTGAAAATAAAATAAGAACAATATATTAATTTTAGATGCGTATGTGACCTTAAAAATACAAAGACATAGGTAGAATTGGTTGGTTACATAGTTGCATTAGAATACAATGGAATAAGTAACACTGATTGTAATAAGAAATGTGTTAATTAGATGAAAATATCGATAAATTAAATAAGGTAATTTTAAATAAATCTAAATCCTCAAGTGAATTACCTAAAGACATAAAAACATTATCAATAATATATAACATATATATTGAAGATATAGTTGAAAGATAAAACAATGAAGAATCTCTGGAGTTAGATTGATTAGTTCTAAAATTTAAACGCTCGAGGATTTCAGGACAATCGATAATATTTGACACGACACGCTGGTGATTGTCTACAGTAACGTTGCCGGTCAAGAGGTTGAGTTGTTCTGCTTCACTATGTGGCATTACTAGGTCTGGTGACGACCAATACAAACGAGTTGCAGATGGTTGAGGTTGTATTCATTAAACCGTAAAAGGGATTATTTTACAAAATAATCATTGTTGTTCTGGATGGCTCGTGACAGCTGATGTTCATTCAAAATACACTATTTCCCAAAAGTTAGATTTTGTTTAAGTCCAAAAATGATGGTCTCAGCAAAAGCTCATTGCAGAATGATCCAGTGAGTAAAATATAATATTTTCTAAAATTTCAATTGATATCGACAAATTATTGAGTGCATGGAAAGTCTTAGAAAATATATAGGATTAAAATGAATTAAATTGAAAATCAGACAACTGTAAGAGATAAAAAAATGTTGTAATATTATTGTTGATAATATTATGTTTAACAATTTAAGAAAATGCTACTTGTATTGTACACCAAAACTGTTGAAGAAAAAATTTCACAGAGTGAATATTTCACGTGCTTTATTTAAGTGTAAGGTCATCCGGAAGTATTTATAGCATTAATTTAAAACATATTTTTTATATACCTTGGCCGATCTGGAAAGAACTAATATTCATTTGTTAAGTTTTTTTTATTGTTTCACTCATAACGGAATGCGATCATTTATAGGTCTTATTATTATTTATACAGTCTTTATCAAATTATATACATAAGACGTATGCAATTATTTACCTTCCGGTTGTTCAAGGTGCATTGTATGTATTTTTTTTTCATGCAAAAGCAACCGAAAATCTTTTCGCAGATGGCTACAACAATAAATACCAAGCTTTAAACTGTAGAAATTAGTAACAATTATATAACTCAACATTATAGAAATACCAAAAGTCCGGGACTTGACTGGTTGTTGTGCATTTTATTAAAATATTTATTTATCGATAAAAATTAATTTCTATCTCATTGTTTCCTGATCTAGAACAAATGGACGTAGCCATTTAGATGTGGACGTTTGTACGTGACCCTTTGGGCGTTAGTTATGTATAGAAATATATATAATGTAAAACAACTATTAGATATTATAACTTATATAATGTAAAATATATAAATTTAATGTTATAATAGTTCTGCCGCTCTAGTTTATTTAAACATTACAAAATCATAGGCGATTAGATTAGAGTCCAAAAACCTAATATGTGATTAACTGTTAACTGTTTAAGAAAAATACTAGTAAAACACGATGTGTATAACTAACTTGAAGCAGGTAAGAGTCCCCGAAAAAGTTATAGAAATTCATTGATCTAGATCGGAGATGGCCAAACTGCGGCACGCGTTCCATTTGTGGGAAACTTATTGTTATTGAATGGCACACTAACGTCAGATAAAATAATATATGATTTTCAATATTTCTTATTTGCGCCGAAAATTTCTAAAAAAAATTTTGTTAAATTAGATTTTTACTATGACAGTGGAATTTCCGATACGATAACTGTTATGATACGATACGATAACATTTCTAAGTGTGTACTAGATTACACATAATAATCAAGCTTGTCTTGAGTCGTATTTTAATCGCCGTGCGTTACGAGTAGTCTGCGTCGTTAAGTGTGTGTGTATGATCGAAAAATGGCAACTAATAAACCAGGGGATTCGAGTTTAGGCGTAATCCGAAGCTATAAATATGACGAAAAGACGAAGTCATAGAATTTTTAGAAAAAAAATAATGAATTGCCTGATGAATGTAAACTACTGAGAGATAAAAATTAGTTGAATGACCTTGAGTTTTCAACTGATATTCTCGAACATTTAAATATTCTCAATAAACGACTCCAAGGTGAAGGAAATTTATTTCCAGTCCTCGTAGGTTTTATAAATTCTTTCATGTCTTGACTTCGTCTGTTCGAAAGTAATTTAGGAATGGGAAATTTAGATCATTTTGTATGATTAAAATCTATTTATCTACCGACAGATATTCCTTTGACAATTTTTAAAAATCGTACTTCAACACTATTTGTTAGTTTTCAAGAAAGTTTCAGTAGATTTAAAGAAGAAGAAGATGTAAATAACGTATTTATTAATCCATTTATCATATCGACAGACGATCTCCAAAAATATAACCCCAACATGCAATTGGAAATTATTGAACTTCAAAGTTCAATAGTTTTAAAATGTAAATATAAAGAGTTGCCTGAGATTATAGAATTTTGAAAATATGTATCAGAAGAAGATTTTCCAGAACTACATAGTCTAGCATTGAAATTAGTTTGTAGATTCAGCTCTACATATATAAGTGAAAAGAGTTTTTCTCGGATGACTTTTAAATAAGTACAGAACCAAACTAACAAATTCTCATTTAAAAAATGTAATGCTTATGCTTTCAACTGAACTTCAATCAAATTACGAAGATATAATATCTATCAAACAAACTCAGCATTAAACTGTCATAAAAATAGTATCTAATTATATTAAAAAAATCTAAAA